AGTTGCCATCCAGTACAAGGCCTGGTCAGGAATGTGGACTTTTGCAGTCTATGATGATTATCCCATTCCATTGCTGCTGGGGGAAGACTTGGCCAACCATGTGAAGCTTGCCAAGAGGGTGGGAATGGTCACCCGCAGCCAGGCTAAGCAAGCCTCCACACCTATCCCTGTTCCTGAGCCTTCTAAAAGGGCCCCGTCTGTGTCACCAGAGACTCAGACTGAGGTGGTGGAACCAGACCCCAGGCCAACATCTGCGACAGCCGTAGTGGATCCAGTGGCACAGACCCAGCCAGAACCAGTCCCGGAACCGGAACTGGCGGAGCAACCAGCACCAGAACCATTCCCAGCACTGAATCCAGCGCTTGCAACCTCGTCTACAACTCCAACTCCAGAGGGCACCACCGAGCCTGCCCTGGCAGCAATAGATACCAACGCAAGAGGCTCAGCCAGAGCCTGAAATACAACATAGTGCACCAGCGAAGAGCAGTTCACAGTCCACGGAAACAGCCCCATCATCTACATCACTTCCAGAGGGACCAAGCCCAAGTCCACAATTCAATGAGGAACTGATGTCTCCAACATCAAGGGAACAGTTCCAGGCTGATCAGGAAGCAGATGACAGCCTCCAGGGAGCTTGAACAGTGGCATGGAGCAACCCACCGCCTCTCAACTCTTCTAATCAATCCCGGTTTGTTGTAGAAAGAGAACTTTTGTACAAGGAAACTCTTTCTGGTGGGCAGTGAAGAGTAAAGAATTTCTGGAGCCTCTATCCACAGCTGAGGTCTCAGTCCAAGGGCACGGGCAGGGTGTTACAAAAGGTCATGGGTCGACAAGCACAAGGGAAAAGCTGAAGGCCCTTGGAGGAGGGACCTGACCAGGCAAGGAAGGGTTTGTGGGAAGGTATCACTCTTAAGGAGCGTTACCAAGTACGAAACCATTCGAATGCCGCTGCTGCAGACCCCCTAGTCCCAGGGAGCCCCACATGGGGCATAGGGGGGGTTCTGAGGGTGAAGCCAATGGACCCAGCCACCTAGGGGAAGGTGAGGGAAGTGCCAGACCCTGGTGCCTCATATCTAGGATGGATAAAGGACCCCACACAGCCTGCTCCCCACCCAAATCGGGCTGAGGGTTCCCAGCTCTGAGGCATAAACTATACTGATTCAATCGCTGACATCAGTCCTGGAGCTTTGCGGGGCTTCTCTGAGCCTCTGGGCTTTGTGCTCATCCAGCAATGACAGTGAGTCCCCTGGCCAGCTACAAGATGGGCGGGGGCATGAATGGCTCCATTGTTACAGATGGAGCTGACTGATGTTTATCACAGGGTAAATATAAAGGACGAGTGACTAAGAAGTTTTAAAGCTGGGTGTCTGTCCCGGGGCAGGTCACAAGCTCCACAAACAGCAGTAAGCAGTGGGGAGATGTTTGTTCAGGATGGCAGAAGGTGCCAGGCGAGGGGAGGTAGATGACATCTGGCTTAGGAAGGCTGCCAGCCTCTGTGGCCCAGTTATGGCGAGGCAGCTTGCGCCCTGCAGTCAGCGCTGGAGCTAAGGGTCTGTTCAGAGGAGAATTTTCCAGCTCTCTAAAACCCACAAAAAATACCAGCTCAGCCTACATTGCGGAGGTGGTGTCAGAGGCTGGGGACATGGCTCAGAGGCGCTGGAGATGTGGGTCAGAGGCACTGGGGATGTGGCTCAGAGGTGCTGGGGATGTGGCTTAGAGGCGCTGAGGGCATGGGTCAGAGGCCCTGGGGGCTGGTGACATGGTTTGGAGGTGCTGGAGGCCAGGGACGTGGGTCGGAGGTGCTGGAGGCCAGGGACGTGGGTCGGAGGCGCTGGAGGCTGGGGATGTGGGTCGGAGGCGCTGGAGGCTGGGGACGTGGGTCAGAGGTTGCTGGTGGCTGGGGATGTGGGTCAGAGGTTGCTGGTGGCTAGGGACGTGGTATGAGACACCAGGGAGACTCTGGGGATTCTACCCAGCAGTGGATGTGTTATTCCTTGACTTTAGCAAAGCTTTTGATACGGTCTCCCACAGTATTCTTGCCAGCAAGTTAAAGAAGTATGGGCTGGATGAATGGACTGTAAGGTGGATAGAAAGCTGGCTAGATCGTCGGGCTCAATGGGTAGTGATCAATGGCTCCGTGTCTAGTTGGCAGCCGGTTTCAAGTGGAGTGCCCCAAGGGTCGGTCCTGGGGCTGGTTTTGTTTAATATCTTTATTAATGATCTGGAGGATGGTGTGGACTGCACTCTCAGCAAGTTTGCAGATGACACTAAACTGGGAGGCGTGGTAGATACACTAGAGGGTAGGGATCGGATACAGAGGGACCTAGACAAATTAGAGGATTGGGCCAAAAAAAACCTGATGAGGTTCAACAAGGACAAGTGCAGAGTCCTGCACTTAGGACAGAAGAATTCCATGCACTGCTACAGACTAAGGACCGAATGGCTGCGTAGCAGTTCTGCAGAAAAGGACCTAGGGGTTATAGTGGACGAGAAGCTGGATATGAGTCAACAGTGTGCTCTTGTTGCCAAGAAGGCTAACGACATTTTGGGCTGTATAAGTAGGGGCATTGCCAGCAGATCGAGGAATGTGATCGTTCCCCTTTATTCGACATTGGTGAGGCCTCATCTGGAGTACTGTGTCCAGTTTTGGGCCCCACACTACAAGAAGGATGTGGAAAAATTGGAAAGAGTCCAGCGGAGGGCAACAAAAATGATTAGGGGTCTGGAGCACATGACTTATGAGGAGAGGCTGAGGGAACTGGGATTGTTTAGTCTCCAGAAGAGAAGAATGAGGGGGGATTTGATAGCTGCTTTCAACTACCTGAGTGGGGGTTGCAAAGAGGATGGATCTCGGCTGTTCTCAGTGGTGGCAGATGACAGAACAAGGAGCAATGGTCTCAAGTTGCAGTGGGGGAGGTCTAGGTTGGATATTAGGAAAAACTTTTTCACTAGGAGGGTGGTGAAGCACTGGAATGCGCTACCTAGGGAGGTGGTGGAGTCTCCTTCTTTGGAGGTTTTTAAGGCCCGGCTTGACAAAGCTCTGGCTGGGATGATTTAGTTGGGAATTGGTCCTGCTTTGAGCAGGGGGTTGGACTAGATGACCTCCTGAGGTCCCTTCCAACCCTGATATTCTATGATTCTATGATTCTACCCACGCAGCCTATACCAGTAAGCCCCAGCTGTGCCCCATGGCTGCCGTAGGGGGTCACTCCGGGGTGCCTGGGGGAAGTCGTGACATCAGTGCAAATGTGTCTGCTGCAGACAGGCTTTGGGGTCTGAGCGGGTTGGTTTGGCTCTTCCTGGGGGGTTGACCAGCCCGGGCTGGCTCGTTTAGGGGTCTGGCTGACTTAGGGCTGTGAGGCTTTCAGGGGAATCCCACGTTCCCAGTCTCCCTCGGTCCAGATCGGCTCCGTAGGAGGACGGGTGTGTGTGTCCAGGGAAGCAGGATGGGGTGGGATGCAGGCTGCAGGGGCCAGGGTTGTGCTTGGTGTCCCTTTTTATAGGGACTCTGCAGGTATTCCTGGAGCCGCGATCGCTCCACAGCTCAGGGCTCTCCCATCCGAGGCTGGCGCCCCACACAAGGCCTGTGTCACTGCCTGAGCCCTGCGCCCTGGGGAGAACGGGCAGGGTGGCTGGGTTGGTGCAGGCCAAGCTCAGTGCTGTGACGGGACATGCTAAAGGGGGAGAATAACGACTGCTCTAGGGAAGGGAGATCGGGCACGTTGGTTCAGCCCATCTCCTAGCACAAGAACACGGGGACAGTCCAATACTGAAAGGCACCAGAAAGGAAATTCTTTCCCCACACAATGTGATTAGACTGTGGAACTCACTGCCACAATATATTATTGAGGTCAGTAGCTTAGCTGGATTCAGAAAATGTCTCGACATTTACTTGGAGAACAAGAACATGCAGAGTTCTAACAGTGAGGATAAAACTACCCCAGAGCTCAGGCTGGGCTATAAACCCTCCTGCTTCAGGGCATGATCTGGGTGCTGAGCATTGGGGGTCAGGCAGCGTCTTCACCAAAGCAGGTTTTCCCCTCGCTGCCACTGCTGGGATTCTTGCCTCGTCCCATGAGGCAGCTGGTCCTGGCTACGACAGGAGACTGGGTTACAGCGCCCCGGGCTGATCCTCCCTGAACGCCGGGATGGCAAAGAGCCAGCTGCAGCCCGGCCGAGGGAGACGGCAGTGATGGTGGTGGGGGGAGGACTCAGGTTCGTGCAGAGGCCCAGGATGGGCCCATTACCCAGTGCCTCTGCCTTTGATCTCACCCTCACTAAGGCTTCCTGATGGTCCCAGCTCAGCTGACGGGCGGGTCACAGAGTCTCTGTTTGCTCTGGGTTGGGATCCTTGTATTTGCCAGCTGGGCTGATTTGCATGTTCAGCATCCTGCCCCCTCCCTTCTCCCCCCCTCATGCCCCCAGTAGGTCTATAAATACCCCGGAGAGCCAGCGCCCTGCACAGGCTGAGCTCCGATCCTCATCGCTCCAGACCAGCTGCCCAGACAGACAGACGGACAGGTGAGTCCCTGCCCCCTCCCAGCCCTTCTCCCTCCACACTGGGTGCTGGGCACTGGGTGCTGGGCACTCTGTGGCATCTGAGCCCTGTGACGGGGCCTCTTGGCCGGACTTGCCCTGTGTGAGTCCCTGGGGCCGTCTCTGTCCCACCCCTTCCCCCACAGCACGGCCCCGGCACCCCGTCCCCTTGAGGACCCCTCGGTGCTGAGCGTCCTCTCCCTGGGGCTCTGCTCCCCGCGCCCCTGCCCTGCCCTGCATGGCTAGAGAAGAGGGGCAGGGAGAGCCCAGGGAGGGGGCCCACACACAGCTCCCCTGATTCACAGGGACCCTTCCAGCCCAGCCAGGCCCTTAGCAAACAGCCCAGCTCCGAAGTGCCTCCCTCTGGGAAATGCCCCATGGTGGAGGTGGGGTCACTCCCAGGGTGTCTCGGGCTCTCGTGACCCCACCTCCTTGTGTGTTTTCTCCCCAGGGGAAGCGAGAAGATGGGGCCAGTCGCCTACTTCAGCCTCTGCCTCCTCGGCTGCCTGATCTATAACCCCTCACTTGCAGGTGAGTCCCTGCCCGGCCCCTCGGAGCTGGAGCCCCGGGTGCTGGTTGCCATGATGGGAACTGGGAAGTGAATTAATTTCCCTCGTCGCTCCCAGAGCCACTGCCCGTCTCCTGCTGATGAGGGTCACTGCCCTGGGGGGAGCCCAGGACCTGCGGCCCCTCCCCAGGGAGCGGGTGAGAGAAGGTGGATGAAATGCCCCCCAGAGTCGGCTCTTCCCATGAGGATTGGGTGGGGCCAGTCCCTGGGCAATGGGCGCTCAGCCCCTGTCAGCTACAGGCTCCCATCCCATCCTCCCGTGTTCCCTTCCCACTGGCCGGCCGTGTCCCCACGGGGTCCCTCTCCAAGGGTTGGTCATGGCTCCGCTCCAGCCCCGGCTTCTTCCCATCCGGCCTCTGATCCCTGCTGGGCTGCCCCATTCCCTGCACACTGTGCCTTTCTCCTCCAGACTGTCCCATTCCCCCCCCCCCCCGCCCCGCTGGGACTCCGCCCCACCCTGTCCTGCTGTGCCCCCTGCCCCGGGCGCTTGCACACAATCTCTCTCCTCTTTTCACAAGAGCTGCCAAGGCTTGTGCAGTTCCAGTTCCATGTGTCATTACTCAGTGAGCTATTTGCATGAGCCCACCCAGCCTGTGGTCACTAAACCCTTCCCCAAGCAGTGAGAGGGCAGGGCATGGAGCTGCCCAGAACGGGGCAGGTTTGTGGTACAGGGTGGATGGGGTGCTGGGGTTGGCAGGGGGCTTGATAGTGGGGCTCTGGAAGACCCCCTAGGTAGGCAGGTTTTGGGAGGTTTCTGAGGTCGCTGGGAGCTGGGGTGCTGGGTGAGAGTTGGGGGCTGGTCACTGGGGTATCTTGGGGGGCAGGGTCTGGCTGGGGCTCTTGGTCTGGGGGAGCCTGGGGCAGCTGTTGAGCCCCCCACTTCCTATCCCCACCAGGCAGACACCTGCTGCTGCTGCTTCCTCCCCGGCCTCTCATGGCTGCAGCTGCTCCCCATGTGGAGCCGGCACAGCCGGAGGGGGCAGACGTGCACTGGGCTCTCCGTGGCCTGTAGCAGCCCCAGAGGGAGCTGCAGCTTCCCCCACAGCTCAGCTGGGTGCTGGAGGCTGAGGCTGGGCTGCAGGTATGTGGCCAAAGGTGCCACATGCAGGGGCACAGTGAGGGAGGAGGCCAAGGAGCTTGGCCCTTGACCCCAGCGGGCTGGCGTAACCGCAGAGCCCCTTCCCCACTGCCAGGGTGTGAGTGGCGTTGGGACCCCGGACACCAGCTTGGCACGCCACGCACATTTGGGGCAGCCGGGCAGGTGACCCGGGCCCCCGCCTTAGAAAACTTGTGGTTGCGCCCCTGGTGCCATGCAAGATGCTAGATGCAAGGCACAGGGCAGCCCCACAGACCACTCCAGTTTCCCCGTCTGAATACCCCACCCACTCCCACCCCCCGGGCTCCGCTCTCGCCTCCTGCTCGGGCCCTTCACCGGCCCTCCCTTTGGAACTAGGATCCCTGCTCCCATGTTCCTCCTGTGTCGCCCCAGGGCTCCCCCATCTTCACTCGGCTCCTCCCCTCCCTGCCAGGTTCTCCGTCCCACTCTCCGGTACAGCCCAGGGAGCTCAGCCTTGCTGGGGGGAGGGGGCAGGGGTTGTAGTTACCCATCTCGGGGCTGGGAGTCCAGGGGGCTGTCAACCCCCCCACAGTGCACTGGCTCCTTCCCTGCCCACAGGGAGCCATGGGGAAAGGAGCCCCTGCCCCATGCAAACCCAGAGGCCCTGCCCTGCTGGGATCCCTGCTCAGGGCTGGGTTCCAGGGGCCCCATTCTGCCGATGTGGGATCTAACCACGATGTCCTGTCCCCACCATTCCCCCCACCCCCGGCCCCCTCTCTCTGCAGGGGCACAGGCTAGGCCCTGTCCCAGGGGCTGGTTCTCCTTCCAAGACGACTGCTATGGATACTTCCCCGAAAAGCTGAGCTGGGAGAGGGCTAAGGTAAGAGGCTCCTCTCGTGGTCGCAGCTGGGGAGCGGCAGCGCTGAGGGGCTCCTGGAATGGGGGACCTGAGCAGAGGAAGAATTGGGCTCGGCCGGGGGAATGGCTCCCGGGGAGGGGTGGGAGTTTTTATTTGGGCTGGAGAGGCCTGGGGAACAGGCTGCGGAGGGAGCCACCCTGCCCAAATAGCATGTTGCCCCTTGATCTCCTCCAGATCCAACACGCTTCAGATGAGCTGTAGCTAATGAGGGGTCGGGGTGCCTAACCATGGCCCCATCACTTTTATTGGCCGTAAGGTCAAGCGAAGGGGGGAGGGGTGGAGAGGAATGATCGGGGCCGGGGCCCTAGGGAAAGAGGCAGCGTGGGGCAGGGCCTTGGGGGAAGAGGTGGTGCAGGAGTGGGGCCTTGGGGGAAAGGGTGGTGTGAGGGCAGAGGCTCAGGGAGAAGGGGTGGAATGGGGGCGGGGCCTCAAGAGGAAGGGACGGGGTGCTGGCAGGGCCATGGTTTGGGCACCGGTGGCCCCCCCCACTCTTAGGCAGCTTCTGCGACTCCTGGTTGGGGTGCTGTGTTCTGCTCTGCACGGTGCTGGTGTTACCCCCACAAAATTCTCTATTTCACACACTCTAGGGCACCCGCCTTTACCCTTCCGTGGGCTCAAGGCGTAACCCTGCTAATCTAGGCACCCCTGACCCTTTTCTAGTTCCTAAGGCTCCAGGTATAAGGCACCCAACTTTACCCTACATTTGGTGCCTGCACATTCTAGGACATCCCGCCTCTACCCAGTCCTAGGGCTCCAGGCGAAAGGCACCTAACTTTACCCCCCCGTGGGCTCTGGTAAACACCCATTCCCTGTGGACTCGGGGCTTAATCTTTTGCGGGTTTGTGGGGTCTTTTACCAGTGAAAGAGCCTTACACAGTAATATCCTACTTAACCTCTATTTATTAACAATCATCAAACCAGAAGGCACACGCTAAGCATGCAGTGCTCCCCACTCCCAATAAGGCAGATGAACTTTTTTTGAGGCCAGTCAGGATCAGGTCCACCCGGGGAACCCCAGTTTCTGCAGGGTGTCATTGGCAGGGTGTTGGGGTCTGGCAGCTCTGATCTTTGGGGCTGGGTCCTGGAGTTGGTTCCAAAGAACTTCCTCTTGGACCCCAGTTTATATCGTGAAACTTGAGTCCTGCTTAGCTGTACCGTAACCAATCATTTTACTACAATTTTACTAAGCAATTCTCTAACCAATCCTAACATATTGTAAAACAATCCCTTAGCCAATCAGGGCCCACCGCCTTAGTTGATTTACACCCAACAAAATGAGTTATGTAACAGACAGAAACAACCAAAGAACTAGACAGAGCCGGGACAGATAAACAATACGGAAGTGGGGACCATAACGATAAAACAGTAAAGAAATGAGGATTTCACAACCACAACTCTTGCTACGTGATTCCTGGCCAGACAGGATACTATCGAACGAAGTTTTCTGTAACCACCTTACGATCTGTTTCTTTCTCTGGAGACGGTGGGTGCTGTTGGCATAGGTCAGGAGCCTTTTTAACAGCCGGATATGACATTGTTTTCATGTCATTTAGAGGGAATGTGAGGAAGTGACTTTCTGCGTCTTAGCTCATGGCGGCTGCTGTCCTAATTTGGCTGCAGACAAAGGCCTCAGACCTGACACTGGGGCTGGGGGAGTGAACATGGCGTTGAGGAGAGCAGAGGAAATAGGAAACCAGCCCCCTCAGCTGCCTGTCCAGGTGGCAGATGGGGCCCGGGGTGGGGGGCATGTTCTCTCCTGGGTCTCTGGCTCCCACAATGCTGCAGGCTGGAATAAGGCACTGGCTTGGGGCTGCTAAAGGTCCAGGTTAAGGTCCAGCCTGAGAGTAAAGTTCAGGGACAAAAGTCCCCTCCAAGGGGTGGTGCTGTGCATTGTGCCAGGTGAGGTCAGGAGGGGTTTGGCCCTGGAGTATTTCTGCAGTGTGGGGTGCAAGGGGGCAGGCCATGCACTAGGGCTGGGGGCTCTCTCCCCTCACAGCCCTTGCTGCTCGGGGTGCTGCCCAGGGGAAGCAGGGCCACAGGTTCCTGCCAGGCACTTTCCAGCTGCCGTCAGCAGTGGGAGCAATGGAGGGAACTGGCCTTGTCCTTGTCACAGGCTCGGTGTCAGAGCTTCGGCAGCGGGGCCCATCTCGCCGCCATTCACAGCGAGGAGGAGCATGATGCAGTCGCTGGTTTCATCGCCCGCTCTCAGCGCCGTGACGACGACGATGTCTGGATCGGACTCCACATCCCCGTCCAGGTGAGTGCCCGGCACCCACGCTGGCTCTGAAGTCTGCTTTTCTGCTAAGTGCAGCTACTGTGGTTGTTACAAACTGGCCCAGTCCCTCTGTGTGCGCTCCCCAGTCTGTTGTGAGCTGACCCAGCTGCTGGGTTCCAGGTGCATCCAAGCCAGCTGGGGCTGGGTAGGGTCTAGTCACCATTCCCAGCTGGAGTCCTCAAGTGGCCCCTCCCCTGGTTGGCGCTAACCCCGCGGTGAGGCTGAGGCCTGGTCTACACGAGGAAATTAGGTTGGTGTAACTACATCACTCGGGGGGGTGAAAATCCACCTCCTGAGCGAGGCAGTTAAACCGACCTACCCCTGGTGTAGACAGTGCTAGGTTGCCGGGAGAATCCCCCCCTTGACCTAGCTACGGCCTCTCGGGGAGGTGGGTTCCCTGCGCTGAGGGCAGAACCTGTCCCGTCGGCATAGACAGCGTCTTCACTGAATCGCTACCGCGGGGCAGCTGCAGGGTTTTAGGTGTAGACAAATCCCAAGATTCGTCAGCGTTTCAGGCTGGGCAGAGTCTCTCCTGCGAGTCCTTGTCGCGTGTGCTGATGGCTGGCTCCCTGCTTGGAGCAGGACCTCGCTTTTAAACAGCTCCCCTGTCTCTGAGCCAGGTGCTCACCCCCCCAGCTCACCCCGCCAGGTCATGCTGCCCTTCCCTTGGCAGGCCCCAGTGTAGGACATCTATTGCTCCATAGACATGGGCCAATAGTTCAGAGTCAGTGGCCACTGATGGACCCATGGCAGTCTTCATTGCTTCTAGAGATGGTCCCTCAGTGGGGTGTCAGATGCCTTTCCCAGGCCGGGCAGCTATTTGGAAGGCAGCACAATACACGGCCCCTGGGCAAGCCCAAATTAGGCCAAGCTCAGTGCTAATCCTTCCGCCCGGGGCACAGAACAAGC